ATTGTAAATATATATTACATTCATTAGTAGTCACAAAAAAAAAAAAAAAAAAAAAAAAGTTATATAACTCTACATTGTAACTAATGTGAGGATCCCTCCATAACAACCATCAGTTTATCAACTTGGGCACTTTTTAAGTATTGGGGATTCAATAGTTAAAAAATGCAAAAGTTCCTATCCTCATGGAACTTACATTTCATTTCACTTTTTTTTTTTTTCTTAAGAGACAGAGTTTTACTCTGTTGCCCTGGATAGAGTCCCATGGCGTCACAGCTCATGGTAACCTCTAGCTCTTGGGCTTAGCCAATTCTCTTGCCTCAGCCTTCCAAGTAGCTGGGACTACAGGCACCCGCCACAACTCCCAGCTATTTTTTTGTTGTTGCAGTTTGACTGGGGCTGGGTTTGAACCGCCACCCTGCATATGTGGGGCCAGCGCCCTACTCACTGAGCCACAGGCGCCACCCAGGAACTTACATTTCAATGGGGGAAAAAGGTAACAAACAAATAAAAACGTGTCCGATGGCTATAGGTACACAGGATCTGCTGATGGATCAGATATAGCGAGTGATAGGAAAATGAGCCAAAAATGATGGCATTGTTTTTGGGTGACTAGAACTGCCATTTACCCACTTTATAAAAGACTGTAGGTTGAGTAGAGTAGGAGTGGGTGAAGACAGGAGTCTGGTTTCTGATGTGCTGAGTTTCATGGGCTTACTAGCCATTGAAATATAGATACCAAATAAGCAGCTGGCTATTCAGTGATGCATCCCTAACGATGGGGAAACATTTTGAAAAATGCGTGATTCATCTTGGTGCAAACATCATGGAGTATACTTACACAAAACTAGACAGTAAAGCCTACTACACACCTAGGTTATATGGTGTAGCCTTTGCCTGTAGACCACAAACCTATACAGTATGCTATCATAATGAATACCATAGGCAACTGTAATACAATGGTAAGTATTTGTGCATCTAAACATATCTAAATATAGAAAAGATAATGTGGGCTCGGCACCCGTAGCACAGTGGTTATGGTGCTAGCCACATACACTGAGGCTGACAGGTTTGAACCTGGCCTGGGGCCTCCTAAATAGCAATGACAACTACAACAAAAAACAGCTGGGCATTGTGGCGGGTGCCTGTAGTCCCAGCTACTTGGGAGGCTGAGGCAAGAGAATCACTTAAGCCCAAAGAGTTTCAGGTTGCTGTGAGCTGTGACTGAGACTCTGTCTCAAAAGAAAAAAAAAAAAAGATAATGTGCTATGACAGCTATGCCAATATGAGATAAGAATTTTTCACCTCTGTTATAATCTTACAGGACCATTGCCATATATGAGTTCTGTCACTGACCAAACGTCAGCATGTGGAGCATGACTGTATGTGAAACCAGAGTTCTAGGAAGAGTTCCAGGCTAGAGATAAGAGTTTGAGATTCTTAAGCATGTAGGTAATTAAAATCCTGAAACTGGATGAGGTCACCTAAGCAGTGACTCAGGGAAGAAAATGTTAACTCAGGGGCTCTCCAACATTTAGAGGTGGGAAGATAAGGAAGAAAAATAGCAATGGAGATTAAGTGGCTGAAGAGTTAGGAGGAAAACCAAGATAGAAGGGTAGCAAAGAAGCCAAGGAAAGATAGTGTTTCAACTAACTATGTTAAAGGGACTGACAGGTCAAGTAAGTCGTATAAATAATGAAAGATGGGGCTCGGCGCCTGTGGCTCAAGTGGCTAAGGCGCCAGCCACATACACCTAAGGTGGCGGGTTCAAATCCAGTGGACAATGACAGCTGCAACCAAAAAATAGCTGGGCATTGTGGTGGGCACCCGTGGTCCCAGTTACTTGGGAGGAGGAGGCAGGAGACTCAGTTGAGCCCAAGAGTTGGAGGTTGCTGTGAGCTGTGATCCCACAGCACTCTACTCAGGGGGACAGCTTGAGGCTCTGTCTCAAAAAAAAAGAAAGATGGACCCCAGAGTTAGCAATGAGGTATTACTGGTGAGCCTGATTGAAAGGCTCAGGAGTGACCAGGAAGGGAGAGTGTGAAGACAGAGAGCACAAGGGACCCTTTCAAGCAATTCTGCTCTAAAGGGAGACTGAGGAATGGGACAGTAGTTAGACAGAGGTATAGGGGCTAGAGAAGAGTTTTTTAAATAGTGTTTTTGGTATTGCTCTTGCTCATGCTGGTCTCAAGCTTCTGACCTCAAGTGATCCTCTCCCCCTGGACTCCTAGGATTACAGAGAGGAGATTCCATGCCTGGCCTTGTTTTCCTTTTTTTAAACAGGAAAAACTACAGGATGTGTGCATATTGATAGGAAAGATCCAGGAGAGAGAGATGCCTCGGAAGCAACAGCAGAGAATAAAAACATATAAGGCTGCTATTATTGCAGTTTATTGCCTACAGTCATAATTTAAATAAATGCAAACTTCCAGTAAGAGGTTAGTAAAAATGATATGCAGGCTGAGCACCTGTAGCTCAGTGGTTAGGATGCTGATCACATGCTCTGGGGCAGGTGGGTTCGAAGGCAGCCAGGGCCTGCTAAGCAAACAAACAAAAGGCTCGGGGCCTGTAGCACAGTGGTTATGGCACCAGCCATATACACTGAGGTTGGAGGGTTTGAGTCCCACCCAGGCCAGCTAAACAACAATGACAACTGCAACAGAAAGTACCTGGGCGTTGTGGCAGGTGCCTGTAGTCCCAGCAACTTGGGAAGCTGAGGCAAGAGAATCACTTAAGCCCAAGACTTTGAGGTTGCTGTGAGCTATGATGTCACTGAACTCTACCCAGGGCAACATAGTGAGACTCAGTCTCAAAAACAAACAAACAGACAAACCCCAAACAAACAAAAAAAAAATAGCTGGGTGTTGTGACAGGCACCTGCAGTCACAGCTACATGGGAGGCTGAGGCAAGAGAATCACTTGTGCCCAAGATTTTGAGGTTACTGTGAACAATGACACCACAGC